ACACGCGTGTGTGTAATCATTTATTATTAGGCACATATGTATAAACAATAATAATTATATATGATTATAAATTTCTGACATATAATCATTTATGATTATGTTCAAAAAATTTCAAAACCAACATAATATTGAGACTATAAAGTCAACGTTTAAAAAGTTTGAAAGTTGAAAATGTCAAACAAACAAAAAAATGTGGAGGTATCCACATACATGCTTCTTTAAATGTACAAACATGCATATTTTGATGAGCCTGGATCTCTCATCTAGCGCTTTAGCACCAACATACCGACATGGCAGGAGAGATATATTCATAAATGATTATGCAGCACCACCAGGTCCTTCTATCTCACCATCTATCTCGTCACCATAATTCATAGGTGGAGAGGGTAAGAAACTCGACCAATCGTAGAACAACACTAGACTTCCCGGGAGAAATAGCAGTTGAAAAAAATATGATATGTATCTCAATGCGAGGTTAATGGCAAATAGAATTATGCTTAGTAACATGTGTCACATAAAGCAATTGGTCTTAACTGGGTCCCATGAAATCCAATGAAAACTCAACCGATCTTCACTTTTTATCTTGCTATCCATTAAGGCTCATAACTATCTCACACTGAAATCACCATTTTGTCTACCTTCCATATGCATGATTCAGAAACTTCCGGAAGCTATACACTAACCACCTAACTATTTAGGGCAATTAACTATCTTAATTCCTCACCATTTTGTTGACCCCTCTTCCAGCACCAAGTTCTACTATAGAAGGATGCATTAATTCTATCAGTAATTTTGCAATTTTTTTGAGACTCAATTATATATATCTTTGGGAAGACATCTTTGAGCACCACATTATCGAACCACACATCCTTTCAAAAGTGTGCTTTATCTCTTGCCCCTAGTTTTCTTTCAAAAATGTTATAAGTGGAAATGCTTTAATCATCCAACTCTAAACTGATTTTAACAATTGATAACCAAATACACCGAAGCCAATGTTTTGCTAATGGTCTGTCATCAATTCCAGATAAGCGATGCATAGAGGTAATACATGAAGTCCAATGTGTAATAACCCAAAAATTGCAATAAAATTTTTCATTTAAAAATCAATAGTTACAATAACCAAAAAGGTCCAAGTCAATAATAGTGTACAATATAAAAAAAATTAGAGTAATAGTATCCAAAAAGTGCGGAAATCAGGAGGGGATGATGTTGTGCCATAACGTCGGGCTCTTCCCGTTTGTACTGGAAGTGCCTGAAATCATAAACATAAACTGTAAGCACAAAGCTTACTGAGTTTCCCAAAAACACCACATACCAAACATATAAATTGGTCCTAGCCCTGTGATATATTCTAATCTAATAAACAAATATGGGCCCAGCCCTGGGGCCTTGTCCTAAGGTTTATTTCTACCCAATCATATGATAGTGGGCCCCGCCCTGGGGTCTATTCAACCCGATTATACCATAATGGGCCCCACCATGGAATTTATTTCAACCCGATCATACAAACATATATGTAACAATCACATAACAGCTAGCATTTTACATAACAGAATATTGGATCGGCATTGGTGCCTTCGACCCATGGCTACTATGAGGAAACTCACCTCTTAGTCTGGAAAGATAGTTGAATAGGACACTACTCTAAATATCAACTCTACCGGTCACCTATTCAATGATAAATGACCAAACTCAACTATAACTCAAAATACCGAAAATACACCTAGGTCAAAATCCAGTCAAATCGAATGTCAAAATGCCAGCCGAGTTGACTCAACTGAGTACGCCCATCATACTCAGCTTGTACGCTTAGCGTACTCAAGGCTTGACCAAAAATCGGGTTGTTGACCACATATACGCAACGTACTCCAGCATACTCACCTTCTATTAAGAGCTTAATCCCTTAAGCTCTTTCGCCCAAAATCCAGATCTAATCCTCAAATGATGTCCTTAATCATAAAGTTTCCAACTTTATGATCTTACATGGCTATTAAGTGCTCAAAACCAAAAACCCTAACTTCTTAACTCATTAAGACATCCTAGTCCATGCATGGAGGAAAACTAAGGACCAAGATTACTTTTCTATGATTCTAAACACTTCAAAACGTCTGAAAGGACAACCCAAATAGATTAGAGAAACCCATACGCAAATACATCAAGCTTATGGGACCGAAATGAATACAATTCATGGCTAATCAAGATCTAAGCAAAACTTCATCAATATCATAACTTTTGACCTCCAAATGGTGCAAAATGATGATGTGTTTCTGGATCCAAAGTGTTTCACTCTTTTAAGATGTTTTCCATTCCTTCTTCTTCCTATAAGAATACCAAAACAACACTAATTAATGGCTCAAAAATGCTCTCAAAATGGATCAGGGTTTGCACGGATCGATATGAGGGATGAAGGCAGATGAAAGAAAGGGTATTAAGGCTATAAGGGTGTTTAAATAGTGTACAAACCCTAAATATTAGGGTTTTGGTCCAGGCCACATACACCCAGCGTACATGATGAAACACGTTTCCTCTAAAATACTACGAGGGACCAATTTGAAATCAATTTACATACCAAGGGCATAAATGAAAATATCTGAAAATCAAAATGTTACACAAAGACTATTAGATTCATATTTTAGACACCATAACCATTTAGTAAGAAAAGCAACATTTATCATTTCAAAACAACCAATGCCAAATCCGCCATTACATATAGGGCAAACTAAGGTACTCCAAATGACTCAATGAATCTTTATAATGTTGTCTACACCTCCGCAAAGAAACCTCCTCCGAGTGCTCTCCAATTTATGAATCACATTTACCAGATCCTCTGAATGCTCTCTCTCGCTCTCTCTCTCTCTCTCTCTATATATATATATATATATATATATATATATATTAGTTACCGTTTTTTTTAATCAGAGTACCGCACATAAATAGTCAACAGAATATGAAATATATTTTTCCCCATTAATTAATATCTTTGTCCCAAACTGATCATGCATCGGTTTGATTCTAATGTACTATTGGTTTGTTGATCTTGATTATCTTTATCCGATTTATTTTTCAGATATATGTATATATAGATTGGTGTTATAACCATTTTGCAAAATAGTTAATATTAACAAAGCATTGATAAGATTTTCCTTATTTTCTATTTGTTAAAAGACGATTTGAAGATTTGTTATAGTGAAACAATTTTCTTATATCATATAACCTCTCAAGTTAGATTGAAACATTAATTGAAATAATTTTCTTTTAAACTAAGTATAAAATATCAAATCAAACATTACACAATTTTGACCAACATTAATTCTTCCATATGATTATTTAAAAGTAATAGAAAATATGAAAAAAGAAAACTGTCAAAAAAAATTTACTTTGACTGATCAAACCAGTAAGTGGAAGACAGAAGGCAGAAATTAAAAAAAAAAAATTAAAATTAAAATTAAAATTAAAATTAAAATAGAGAGGCTAAGTAGCAACTAATTACTGTAACCCAACAAAGTTAATATTTTTTTTGTTGAATCTTAATTTACTTTTTTGACGAGTGCGTTTCCCAATTACTTGGTCAACAGATTTCTACTTGGTTTTCTCAATCTCCCTCTCTCTTGATTATTTTTAATTTAATTCATGAAAATATCTTTTCTTAGTTTTTTTTATTTGTACTTTATATTTTGTTAGAGCTAAATTTCGTAAATTTTACTCAATTACTTCTGTTACTTGATCATAAATATTCTTAAATTTAGAACACCTGCAGCACTGCACGGGGATCAACATCCTCCATCTATTAATATATTTTCACCCAATTCTTTAAATTATACATAGATTTAATAAATTATGAAAATCATCCCATATTTTAAACAACGAATTTCAAAATCTTTCACATACATCATACTCATATTCATGATCATATACATATGCAGAGAAAGTGAAGAGAGAGAGGGGGGGGGGGGGGGTGGAGTAACTTCATGTAGATGAGATGAGTATAGTCCAATAAGGTGATTTGGATAGTGTGGGGATGCTGGACTTTGGGGTGTCAATTTTTTGCAAGTACGAGGACTTTAGTGAGTTCCAATACATCCCAACTTGGATCACAATAGAGTGTGAGACTTGTGAGTAAAGATGTCTAAAGAATCCATCATAAAATTCATGTTAAATGCATCCAATCTTATTTTGTTGTTATCATCTATGTTTATAAAAAATTTACATTTGTGCATATAAGTAGATATAATTGTTATTTTTAAGAACTGAAATGGGTGTACTAGATATTTTTTATAATAAACACACTCGTGGCCTTCCATATTAGAACTAATTATATAATTAAATCTCAAACTATACATATATATTATTTATTGTAAATATTGTATAGAAAAACATTTATGTGCAATATGCGAGAGTCAGACTACATATAAAAAACTTTGCAAAAGGGCTTCTAAGAATCAAGAGACAGAGAGAGAGAGAAAGAGAGAATAGAAAGATAAAGATGTATTTATTAAATACTTCTATCTTTCTAATTACTTCTTTCTTTTCATCTCCTCTTCTTTCTTAAAATTCCTGTCTTTCTTCACTCCGTTCCCACTGATCTTCATACTTAAATTCTCTCCAAGTTTTCTGAAGGGTAATATTGATATATAAACCCTCTCCTATCACTGCCTGACATCTTCATTCATTCTTAAGCTTCCATTGACATCTTTCATTCCTTAATAGTCACTTGCACTAAGTTTTCTCTATAACTTTTTGGTGTATAAAAACTGCAGACTACACAGACGAAAGCATGAATTCAAACAACTGGCTTTCATTTCCTCTTTCTCCAACTCACTCGTCTTTACCACCTCATCTTACTACTCAATCCCACAATTTTTCTCTTGGTCTAGTGCATGATAACATGGACACCCCCTTTCCTAACCAAGGTAGACTAATCTCATCGGTTTACAGAACCATTTTTGCTAATTACTTTCGCTTCTTTATTTATGATTGTAATATTGCTTCAAACATTTATGTGCAGAATGGAACTTGATTGGGGCACAAGGCGGAAATGATCAAGTCCCTAAAGTTGCTGATTTTTTAGGTGTAAGCAAGTCAGAGAACTCTTCAGATCTTGTGGCGTATAATGATATTCAGGGTAATGACACCGATTATATGTTCACAAACAGCAGTTTATTGCCACAAGTTGAAAATACTTTATCTGCCACCCCTACAAGTTACGAACTGCCAGAAAATGCAAGTACTTTGCAGTCCCTGACATTGTCTATGGGCAGTGGAAAACGTTCGACTTGTGAAACGAGCACTGGTGATAACACTAGCAATGATAACACTACCAATAGTACTACTAATAGCGTCGTTGAAGCTAACCCTAGAAGGACTTTGGATACATTTGGTCAGAGAACTTCGATCTATCGTGGTGTAACTAGGTGGGTGTTTTCTCATCCACTTTCTTCTGCATGAACTTCAAGTTTCTTTTCTATGAACTTCAAGAATCTGATCAACGTTTTTGCTATATGAAATCTTTAAATACAGGCATAGATGGACAGGAAGATATGAAGCTCATTTATGGGATAATAGTTGTAGAAGAGAAGGGCAATCAAGAAAAGGACGTCAAGGTAAACAAATTTAATTCATCTTTATAAGGTATTCCTTTTCAAGAAGCAACTTGTAAAGTGCTAGGTGCTATATATATATTCTTCGTACTTATTCTTATAATTAATCTTTCAAAATGACTTAACTTTTTTTCATTTTGTCTTTCCGGCGATGTTGCTGTTTCGATTCTCATATGATGCAGTTTATCTCGGTGAGTTTGATTATTTATGATATCGTTTACTACTTTCCATCAATTAGATGTTCTTGGATCTCAAAATTTTAAAACGTTTTATTGATAACTTGTGATGGATTTATAAACTTCAATTTCTTGTGACTAGGTGGATACGACAAAGAAGAGAAAGCAGCTAGGGCTTATGATATGGCTGCACTAAAGTATTGGGGAACTTCTACCACCACCAATTTTCCGGTATCTATTTTGCCACCTTTTCTATCTTTGAATACATGCAATAATGCGACCTCATGTCACAAGCGAATAATGAAAGTTGTATCTCATTATGTTTTGCAGATTACTAACTACGAAAAAGAAGTTGAGGATATGAAAAACATGACCAGACAAGAATTTGTAGCATCCATACGAAGGTTAATTAGCAACTGATTATTTAAGTCTTCATGACGATGAGATTTCTTAGTATTGATATTTAATCACGATATCCGATTGCAGGAAGAGTAGTGGATTTTCTCGTGGTGCATCAATGTATCGAGGTGTTACCAGGTATGCTACAAACCCTAAAAAAGATCTTTTTATTTCTCTCTCTATCTTTCTCTCTCTAAAAAGTTCTTAAATACATGATCAGGCATCACCAGCATGGAAGATGGCAAGCAAGAATAGGAAGAGTGGCAGGCAACAAAGATCTATACTTGGGAACATTCAGTATGTCATATGTTTTAAAATCCAATCTTTTTTGCATTCATCTTCTGAAATCTTTTTTTTTAAAAGATCTATGTATGTTCATGCACCTACACAGACACTAGCTTACCATGTGGATTACCAACAACACTAGCTTTTATTACCTTCATATAAAAACAATTTTCAAACTTCGGGTTTTGTCCCCCATTACACGTTCATTGTTTTCTTGCAATTAATTCATCTGTTTTCAAAACAAAAAGCATGTCTTTTTCAAATCTTGTATTTATGCTGCCATTAATATATCAAGTTCTCCATGATGTTTTACAATATACTTATCATGCAGGCACTGAAGAAGAAGCTGCTGAAGCATACGACATAGCAGCTATTAAGTTTCGAGGTCTAAGTGCTGTTACAAATTTTGACATGAGTCGTTATGACGTGAAGAGTATTCTAGAGAGTAACACACTCCCCATTGGAGGAGGTGCAGCTAAGCGTTTGAAGGAAGCTCAGGCAATTGAGTCGTCAAGAAAACGTGAAGAAATGCTTGCTCTTGGTTCTGGTTTTCCGTTTGGAACAACCGCTACAGCTGGTGGCGTTTTGCAAGCTTATCCTCTTTTACAGCAACCATTTGAGACACAATCTCCACAACCTCTGTTAACGTTACAAAACTCTGAAATTTCACATTATACAACACAGGATCCTCATTTTCACCAAAATTACCTCCAATCCCATCACCATCATCCTTATAACATGCATAGCCCTCACCATTCATCCAGTCAAACCCCTCAGTATTACAATAGCTATCTTCAAAACAACCCGGTTTTGCTTCATGGGTTGATGAACATGGGGGTTGGTGGATCTTCATCTTCTGTGATGGATACTAACAACAATGGTGGTAGCTCTAGTGGAAGTTACAGCGGGGGAGGGTATTTAGGTAATTTCCTTGGACAATCTGGAAGTACGGCGGAGGAGCTCGCCATGGTTAAGGTTGACTATGACAATCTGCCAACTGAGAACTATGCTGGCTGGTCTGGTGATTCGTCCGTTCAAGAATCAAACCCAAGTGTTTTTACAATGTGGAATGACTAATTAACATGTTCAGAAAGATCGAAGGATATGCAAAAAGTCTAGACTTTCTGATAATAACAATTTTTATTTTCTTTGTTCTGTAATGGTTTTTTAACGTAATGGATGTTCACAAGGGTCTACTAATCCAACTTTTTATTTGAGTTGCGTCAGATCACATCTTAACATGAATATCTTGAGCATATTATGCTTCAAAAAATGAACGATCTTAATTTTCAAAGTGGTATAGCTATTTGTATTAAAGTCGTTATGAATCGTCACAAAATGAAGACATTGTGTTGATTAATATTACATAAAATGATCCACTTTATAAGTGATATAGAAAATGTTCATATCGCAATGAAGACATTTGTTAAATACAATTGCGTACTGAAACATACATTTTTTGACATAAAATTGATAAAATGATGTATGATGCGAAGTTAATGGTATTGGAAAATCACTATTCATGAATCTGTAGCCATTTTTACTTAGCGTAATTAGGTTTCGTGATGATGAATACTGCAAAGTACTTGCCATTGTTATTTAGTGTAATTAGGTTTTGTACTACATTATTCAGTAACTAAACATCAGCCTGTTGTTGGACCAAATGGAGATCGAAAGTCAAACAAGGAGAGAGCACCCATTAATTTATCAGTGACCTAGGAGGTGTTGCTTTATCTTATAATTTTTTTATTGTTAGGTTGATGACGTGCTAAAAAGATAAGCAATCTCATCCTTTCTCATAATTGTATTTTTCTCGTTTATGATTGGTTTTTTACAATATTAACTAATTTAAATGTGTGCTAAAAAGATAAGCAAACTATTTGATGTGTAATAGTCATTATATGGGCCTGTGAGGATAGTTATGGGCTAACAAATTAAGAATGAATCTTGGAGTTGGACTGTTGAGAAGTGAGCTGGTTTGCAATATATATAGAATGAAATGAGGAACTAAAACTGGATTTGCTGAACTTTGTAGGGTTTACCCACTCTACAATATTGAATCAGATGAGAGATTGATTCTTTATTCATCTCTCAACTCTCTCTCTAATTTCTCCCACACACGCAAAGCTTAATTAGGGTTTTTATTCATCGTATTCTAGCTGTTAGACAGTTTTACACATAGTAATCTTTTAATCTTAGATTAGAATAGATGTTTGTGATTATTGTTGTGTTGTATCAGTCAAGTTTGAACATCTGTAAACTTTGTGAAACATCTTATATTTGAGTCTTATTTCTGTTCCTAATTTTGAGTTAGTTATAATCTTGTAATTGGTATCACAGTTGATGGTTTTGATTCTGGAAACTTAGTTTGTGTCTAAGGTTTATTTGGAGCTTTTCTTGTCTAAAACATTTTTGAAAACCATAATATCTCAAAAACCCTTATCTTTACTGGATTGACTCCTTTTTGTTGTTTTATTTTTCTTATGATCGTTGTTGTGTGTATTTTGAGGTGGTTTTTTTCTCTCTCTCATATATGATTTAGATCAGTTGTCGTTCTCTGAGGTCTTGTCGATCTCATTTGTGGTCTAGGGGTTAGATCATTTTTCTTCTATATCTCGTTAGATCTATTGCAGTTTCAGTCTATAACTCTATATTTGTGGATCTATTACTTTGTATGGTTTCCTGTTAGATCGGAGCACACAAAACCTTTGTCTCTTAAGATATGTTCTAACTTAGGTCAACTTGTCTATGTATGTCTCTTGGTCGCTAGTTGTTATTTTGTGTTTGATCGGGTGATCTTTTTTGCGTTTTTTGACGCTTCCGCGAATCTGTTCTTCAACTGCATCTAAGAGCTTCTGAGGCAATTGTCTGGATAATCAAGAGGTTGAGGTTGTTCGTGTACTATAAAGTTATATGGTAATGCAATATATGAGTTCATTTCTTCTCTATTCTTTTACTAACATTTGGAAGGTGAATAAGGGAGCTTTGTAAGTTTTTCTTATCATAGTTCAGTCTGTAGAAAAAAGCTATTGAACACACGATTGTTTCATGGTTCTTGGCATATAGGCGGATATCTTGTTTGAATATTTCTCTCCTTGTGTTGTATTGTTTGTGTTATCACCAGACCAGAGTTACTCTATCTTTTAGTCTTTCATATCTACAATGTTGCCCTATCTGGTCCAAAAGGACTTTAAAACTTAGTGAGGTTGTGGACTTCTTTGTGGATGATTTCATTTATAGTTAGTGAAATTGGATTAGTTGAACATTATCTACTTATTGCTTCATCATGACTGGTGAATTGTCTGGTCCAATTAAAGTTGAGTCTGTGGATACAAATGATAATGTTGTTCTTTTGTCTTGTGATCTAAATACTATTTTAACTACGTCCATGATGAGTTGTGAAATCAATATACGAATCAAGATAAGATGTAATAAAATAAAGCAAGTAAATGACATGTTTCAACTCATATTGATCAGGAATGAGGTTAAAGAGTACAAAAGTATGAGTGAGAGGAAATGCAAAAATGTGTGTACGTTTGCTTATGAACCTCTAACCTATAACACTATATATAGGCAACATGCCTAGTGCCCTCGACAAACCACAAAAAGTACAAGTATACTTCGACATTTAAGTGCATGTAAGAAGTTCTACTTGAAATAAAAAGATATATCGAAATGTGACAGTTTCAATATAGACAACAAACTTCATCTTCGAGATATGAGACTTCGATATCAACAACACTTAAAATATACTTATGGCATTTTAGGTTTTTCGCAATGAATCATACTCTACATTCTCCTCCTTTGTGAAGAACATCGGGATCTTTAAAATGAAGGTAAATTCTTCACAGCCTCTTAAAAGTGACTTTCCAATCTCCATGTACCAAATAAGAGTCTTTTGAATTTTCCTTTTGTCATCCTTAGAATTCTTCTTGCAATTAACAATTCTGACTAAAATATTCTTCAAATTTATATTAGAATACATCTCCTTAATATCAATATAAAAAGAATACTTCTTTTCAACACCTTTGATCTTCTTACCTTTAAACAAAACTCCTCTTGGTTTCATCAAAATCTCTCCATCTTCATATTGTTCAAGATTCTCCAAATCAGTACTTGGATTCTTGCACTACAAGAAAAAAACGTTTTTGCTACGGAAGGAATCCATTGCGAAAAGCTGAAATTCCGTTGCAAAAGACGAATAGTGACGAAATTTGCAACGACCTATTTCCGTCCCTAAAAACGTCGTAGCGAGGGTTTGCAACGGAAAAGTTAATTCCATCACAAATGTGACAACAGAATGAAATCCGTGGTAGGTGGTATTCCATCGTGTATTCCGTAGTAGGATTTCATCGCACAATCCGTGGTAGTTATTCCATCACAAATTACGTGGTGGTGATTCCCTAGCAAATTCCATGGTGGTGATTCCCTAGCAAATTCTGTGGTGGTGATTCCCTAGCAAATTCCATGGGGGTGATTCCCTAGCAAATTCTGTGGTGATGAATCCATAGCAAATTCTGTGGTGGTGATTCCCTAGTAAATTATGTGGTGGTCATTCCCTAGTAAATTCCGTGGTGGTGATTTTGTAGCAAATTCTGACGTGCTGAATCCCTAGCAAATTCCGTTTGATGATTTCCTAGCAAATTTTGTGGTCATGAATCCCTAGCAAATTCTGTTTGATGACTTCCTAGCAAATTCCGTGGTCATGAATCCCTAGCAATTTTAGTGGTGTATATTATATACCAGAGTTTATATGGACCGATGGATAATTGATTTATAAATTATATCCAAATAATTTTGTAGTAATATATGAAAAACAAAAACAAACAAAAAAATCATATCCATTATATCATAAAATAATAAAATAATTATTTATTACATGGAAAAAAGAAAGTTGCTACTCTAAAATACATAATCTGCAATAAACATATATTAACCTACTACTCTTGTTGTTTTGTAAACTAATTAATAAGATCCAATGCCGTTTGAAGTTGTTTTTCAAGATGCCTGACCTTTGCTTTGTTTTCCTCTTGTTGGGCGTTCATCATTTCTTTAAGCTCTTCGTTTTGCTGTTTTTGTTTAGCAACAAGCTCCCTCATTTCTTCTATTTCATCATTTTTTTCAGGAATGTAAGATACATCCGTTTTACCATTCCTATTGGGAACCGCCTTTGCAAAAGAGTCTAATCCATAAAGTCTTCTTTTTTATCATGACCAACAACAACAGCATAAAATAGTTTGTCCTCCTCAAATTCAACACCTTCAACTTCCAACTCTTCCCGTTTTTCTGTATAGGCCGCC